GATAAAGGTCAAAACGTCAAGAGAAATGCTATTGGTACCCCAAAATGGGGTACCCCATTCTTACCCCGGCCTATTGTGTGGCCATAAACGAGGCAACACATTTAAGTGGTCCCTACTTAAATGTGTTGCCTCGTTTATGGCCACACAATAGGCCGGGGTAAGAATGGGGTACCCCATTTTGGGGTACCAATAGCATTTCTCAAACGTCAAAGGGTAGTAAAGAAAATAAACTCAAGGAACTGTTGGAGAAATTTGACTCCAACTCAATCCTCTTATTTTTATCTGTACTATCACATAAACTCTTCCAACAATTTATATCTTCTTTAATTGCCTTAGGGCAAGGGCTGATCTTTCTTGTTCTCCGTTGCTTATAAATACAAGACATACACCTTAAGGCCCAACCTGGGAACAGTGGAGGACCTAAGGGGGGGCTAGGTGGGGCACGTGCCCCCGCTTCGAGCCCGGAATTTCAGTAATAGTACTTAGGATAAAAACGGGTGCCTCGGCTTCATACCAGTATTTGATAATTAAGATACTAAAATGTTACGGTTATATAAATAAAAAATTAATACAAAACATTTAAATTTTAGCTGAATTAAAATAAAAGATATAGAATTATCAAAAAAAAACAAAAAAAATAATTAAGAATTGAAAACAAAAAGTAACAAAAAAGTTAAAATGCAAAAGAGTAGCCAATGTGCGGGCAACTAAAACTACGGAGTGATAAAAGTCTAAAAACTCCCTAACATTTGGAAGACTAGAATGATAAAAATCACGTGGACGGTTTACGAATTACGACTTTAGGGGATGTCGCTGCCTTGGCTCTGGCCTCTGGGGACTTCGCTGTCTAGCTGAATTGATGTTGCACCGCCGCACGCCTACACCGCTCAATCCTCCCATATTTCCTTGATTTGTAAGTTTATTTTCAATTTATTCTGCATTGACGACACCTGCTTTTTAGTTGGGGGATTATTTTAAAAATTAAAATTGTTGATAATCAAGACAGATCTTCGCAATATGATGGGAGATGACTATCTTACAAATTGCTTGGTGTGCTACATCGAGAGAGATGTTTTTAGAAGCATCGATGATGAAACTATTATGCAACATTTTCAGAATATCAAAATTCGTGGGCTTGATTTACCAAAGTTGCAGCACTGAAATATGTAATATGTAATTAACTATTCTTTATAATTTAATACTACGTACATTTTTTTTACCATTTTTATTACATTTGCAGTTATTATTATAGACTAACTTTAGTGTCTAGTGTGCCCCGCTCTCACAAACCTCTGGGTCCGCCACTGCCTGGGAAGATAATCATTTCAAACTCAAAATGAAAAAATGCAGCAAAAGTAGAATGTGATATGAAAATGCAGCGAGTTCCTTTTGGTGCTGGTGTTGGCTACATGTTTGCTTTTCATTTTGATGGCATAGGGGACATGTTTTACATTTTATTCATCTCAAGTTCCAAAATTACTTTACGTTTATGTGTGTATGAACATAGGTATATTTTATCCATTTCACGTTCCAAAATTACTTAATGTAGCCTATGTGGGATTCGAACCCACATTTATGTGTTCATGCACACATCGCTCTACCATTTGAGCTAATAGGCTAAAAATTATTATCCAAACTATTTTAAAATTCAGTTATATATAAATAAAGTAAGTTCGATAAGACTATATTTACTTCATATTCTTGTACCAGATCTGAGACTTTATTTACTTCATATTCTTGCACCAGATCTGAGGGAAAAGGAAATTTTACTGGCCGTGTTTGTAAAATTTAGTGATATGGATAAAAATCTCTGGACCTGAATATGATCTTCCCACTAATTGGTCTCCTGCGTGCCACTTAATTTAGTAGACCTTGTAACTATGACTATATATCCATGTACTTTATTTATCTTAAGCAAAGATAATGGTTACAAATTGATTATGAGTTATTCGCAAATCATAAGATAAAGCCCAAATCTACAATCATATTACTGGAAGCCTTTGATGTGTAAAATTGTCAGTAAAATTTTCAAAATTTTCCAATCTAAGCATTTCAAATGACTACTTCGTAAAACAAACATGATTTTTTGAATATTGACACTCATCAAACCCACCTTAGATTGAAAATGAAAAAACAAAAACAGATTGAATTCAAACATAATCAAGAAATAATTTGAACATTGACAAATTAAATTAAATACCTTGGTACTATCTAGGTTTAGCCCTCTCATACCAGAGCTCCAACACCCCCTTTGAAATGAAATTCGAAAATAACACAAATAGTTTGAAATAAACTGATTGAAATAAACTGATTGAAATAAAACATCTCATATGAAATTGAACAAGCAAAAACAGGTTGAAATAAAAATCTCACAAATCATCAAATTGAGAGTTAGCTATTTCATATCATCATCTGAACATAGAATTCGTTAAACACAAATTTAGAGTTAGTATATGCACGGAATAATTAATATCGGGGCATGTGAAGGTGAGATATATAAGTTTGCCCACTAGCCGGCGATACCGATCGGGTTCCGAGAAAAGCGAGCCTTCAGCAGCTTGAAGACCGTGATTTTGAGGCATAGGAAACGTAACAGGTTTGGCGCCAGATAATCCTGTTTCATCAAGAATGTCCAATACGTACTTCCGTTGACATAAGAAAATCCCTTTCTCGCCGCGAGCTATTTCCAGCCCAAGAAAATACTTCATGTGCCCCAAATCTTTGACTGGAAATATGTTAGCTAAGTATGTTTTGAAAACAGAAATCAACGCACGATTAGAACCGGTGATAAGTAAATCATCAACATAAACTAATATACACAAAATGTGTCCCCCACGATGTAGAGTGAATAAAGAGTAATCAGCATGGGGCTGATGAAATCCATAATTGACAAGAGCCCTGGTTAACTTGGAAAACCAACAGCGGGGTGCTTGGCGCAAACCATAAAGGGAATGGAGTAATCTGCACACCTGTCCAGGTTTGGAAGACGAATAACCGGGGGGCGGATGCATGTATACCTCTTCATGCAGGTCACCATGAAGGAAGGCGTTATCTACATCCATTTGATGTATTTCCCAGTCGCGAGAAGCAGCAATGGCCAACATAGTACGAACGGTAACCATTTTAGCCACGGGTGCAAATGTCTCGTCATAGTCGATCCCTTGCACTTGTCTATTGCCACACACCACCAAACGGGCTTTGTACCGATCAATGGTACCATCACTTTTGTATTTAATTTTATAGACCCATTTGCAAAAAATAGGTTTCTTACCGGGTGGCAGATCCTGTATCCGCCATGTGCCAGTACGCTCTAGAGCCGCAAGTTCTCGTTGCATGGCAGCCCGCCATAATGGGTCACGCGGTGCCTCACGAAAAGTGCATGGTTCCTTATGTGATGAAATCGCTGCAAGAAAGGCACGATGGCGTACCGAAAAACGATTATAATTTACATAATGAGATAAGGGATAAGGATTACCTGATTCAACCGTTGGTTTGGTGTGAGAAGCGGGCAGAGTGTGTACTTTCATAGTGTTGAGTTGCACTTCGTAATCTTTCTGCCAAACCGGTGCCTGCCTCGAGCGTGTGCTACGCATGGTTTGAAATAGCGGTCCGCTACCGCTATAGCGGCGGCTATATAGCGGTCACGGTAGGGGCCGCTACCGCTACGGCCCGCTATTCGCGTGTGATTTTCAAATCACGGGAAAAATCCGCTACGCCACCCGCTACGGCCCGCTACAGCCCGCTACAGCCCGCTACAGCCCGCTATTGACATTTCCGGCAGTACATCACGAACTGTTTGATGTGTAAATGTGTAAATGTTGTGTCAATGATGTGAAAAAATACATTAATGGTGATGCATGGAGTGAAACTCAAAATTAAATGTTGTGTGAATGATGTGAAAAAATACATTTATGTTTTGCGCAATTGAAAATATTTCACGCCGCTGCAACCGCTACAGTCGGCTACAGGCCGTTATAGGCCGCTACCGCGATGACCGCTACCGCTACCGCTACCGCTGCCGCTACGGCTATTTAAAACCTTGGTGCTACGTCTTGTATGTAATGTTGGAACATGAGCTCCTGATGCCGACCCAGAGGCATTATTTTGTTGACTGTCAGGTGTCGGCGCGTGATCATCTTCACTCATATCCTGGGAGGCTGAAGCATGGTCATTCCCAGTTTGTTGCAAAGCAGACACGTGTGGAGTCATTTGGTTATGTGAATCCAAATCATTATCCTCTTCCTCAGTTGCATGAAAACGTGTGACAGAGATAAGTTCATCACTCTCAGATGGTCCCACTTCTTTATCCATTAGTGAGGAGGAACCGTGAGCTTCAGACGCAAATGGAAAGGATCCTTCAATAAAAGTTACATCCCGGGATACAATAAAATTATGTTTTTCCAGGTCATATAATTTCCACCCCTTTTGAGAGTAAGCATATCCCAGAAAAACACATTTTATTCCACGTGAATCAAATTTATCCCGATTTTTCCCATGATTATGAGCATAGCAGAGACACCCAAATACACGGAGTTGATCATATTTGGGCACTTTATTATATATGAGTTCATACGGACTCTTATAATCCAAAACAGAAGAGGGCAACCGATTTATAAGATAACATGCCGTCAATACACACTCACCCCAAAATTGAATAGGTAAATGTGCATGAAAACGTAGAGTGCGTGCAACCTCCAAAATATGTCTGTGCTTACGTTCAACGCGTCCATTCTGTTGTGGAGTATAAACACATGTCGTTTGAAACAAAATTCCATTGTCCAAAAAATAAGATTTTAAACTCTGAAATTCTGTTCCATTATCACTTCTAACAATTTTTACCCTCTTGTCAAATTGTTGGCCTATCATGGCTACAAATTGTTTCAGGATAACAGAAACTTCACTTTTCTCCCGTATTAAGTAGACCCAAACTGCCCGGGAATAATCATCTACTACAGTCAAAAAATATCTAGCACCACATGACGCAGTAACGCGATAAGGACCCCACACATCACAATGAATCAATTCAAATAACTCAAAAGCTCTGGAATCACTAATATGAAAAACATCACGAGTCTTTTTACCACGCATGCATGCGTCGCAATTTTTATTCAAATCAACTGTCAATATTGAATTATTCAAACTAAGAGCTGAACGTAAAATCTTCACGGATGGATGTCCTAACCGGGAATGCCATAATTCACCTGTGACCTTCCCTTTTATAGAGCAAGAACGAATTGGATCCAAACTATGAAAGTAGTACACTCCACCACGTCTCTCACCCGCTCCAATCGGCGTCCTCGAAAGTAAGTCCTGTATCACACAAATATCATTAGTAAAAAATAATCCGACTTTTCGATCATCAATTAATTGCCCCACAGAAATTAAATTGCACGTCAAACCAGGAACCAATAACACATTAGAAAGTTTAATTTCTTGGCTTAGCTGTGCATCTCCTTTGCTCTTGGCAAATTTAATTTGTCCGTTTGGCATGTATACAGAAACCGGAGCAATGTTTTGTTGATTTATCAACAAAGTTTCTTTTCCGGTCATATGAAAAGAAGCACCTGTGTCTAAAAGCCAATTAGGACAAATAACTTCACCTGATGCCTTGTCATGAGGGGCTGTCTTACATTGCTCCATAAGCTGAAGCAGCTTCGTCCACTGGTCAGTAGAGAAGGTAGGTGCTTGACCTACGGTAGCATTGCCTGGCGGAAGTACGTAGACTTCATCTCCTCCCTCAGTATGCACAGCATTGGCCACCCCTCTGCCACGGCCTCTGCCGGCACCACCTCGGCCTCGAGCACCTTTCCCTTTTCCAGGATTGTCGTACCACCATTCCGGATAATTTCCGGTTCTTTTGAAACAATTTTCGATTCCATGCCCTGGTTTCTTGCAAAATGTGCAAATAATCTTGTCATCACGTGTTGCCGAAGACGTACCAGTCCTAGTTGCAAAGGCAACTACATCAACCTTCTCCTGAGGCTGACAAGTCATGTTCCGAAGCCTTTCCTCCTGTACCATAATATTGTACACCTTCGTCAAACCTGGCAATGCATCCTGGCTAAGTAAATTCGAACGCAATGCTCCAAATGGCTCACGATCAAGACCCATAAGAAATTCATGGGTTTTTTCTCGTTCTATCTGTTTCAAGTAGATCTTGTTCAAGTCACACGTGCACCCATCACACTTGCACTGCGGCATGATACGGTAGCCTTCATAATCGTCCCATAACGCCTTAAGGCGTCCAAAATACATCGCAATGGTCTGTCCGTCTTGCCGGCACAGTCGAATTGATTCCTTGAGTTCATGAATCCTCATTGGATCCCCAACTGCAAAGCGTGATTTTAGATCCTCCCAAAAGTCACGTGCACTCTCCATGTAGGTGAGATTTGTACGCAGACCGGGCTCAACTGCGGTCATCATCCATCCTACGAGCATAGAATTCACAGTATCCCAATCTTCTGAGTCTTGTATATTGTCTTCTGGGCGTTTAATCGTGCCATCCAGAAAACCAACCTTTCGTTTCGCACGAAATGCATTTCTCATTGCCGTCGTCCACTCCCGATAGTTACTTTCACCTTTGAGGGTAACTCCGCAAATGTTCATTCCGGGGAAATCGGAGCTTGATAGGTAATACGGAGAGGAAGGATCATTGATCTTCCTCCGCATCGGTTCGGTCGTTCGGTTGCCGGAAGAATTGGCTTCGTCGGTTGTCATGGTTGAGTTCGTCAAGAATAGGTATAAACATGGGTCGTTTAACCTGCTCTGATACCAAAATAAACTGAGTTGTATATTATTCGTATCGAATCTAAATTACAGGGTTAACGTACATCATTATATACAGCATGCTCTGCTATGCTTCGGCTAAAACTACGCAACAATAAGGCTGGCAAAGTGGAGTCCCACTCCAATGCTACAACTAACGGCTGGAGTTGATTACAACAAAAAATGTACATAAAATAATACACCGGTATTCAAAATAAATCTTATCAATAACACTGCATGCATGCGTTCATGACTTCATGGAGACGTATGTTCCAATAGTTAGCTATTTCATGAGTAAGAAAATATAAAGAAGTTCTTAGACTATACCCACAATAATCAACCACAATGATTAAAAAAAATTAAAGTAAATAGTTGAATTAACAAATTTACATATAAAATAAAGGAAAGTCCGTTAACCCATGCACCTCACATAAATATTAACACTTAATTCACAAAAGAGCAAAAGAAGAGAGTACCTTAGGCGGTGGTTGAACGGTCATAGATTTTCGTTCGTGATAGCGGCAAAAATAGGGTTTCAGTCTCTGGGTCGAAAAACGGAAAAACAAATGATAAAGAAACTGGGGGGTGAAAGGGTTTCTATAAAAATATGGGTTTGGGGGACGGGAGTTTCATAAGTTTCAGAAGAAGAAAAAAACAAGCTGGAGAGGAGGAGAATGGGGAGGGGAGAAGAATGGGGCAGAGGATCGTACGAGAAGGGGAGGGAGAGAAGAGTGGTAAAAGTGAAAGGTAAAACAAGAGGGTTATATAGTGTCTATAATGTGGGTAAGTGTGTACAACTAGACTTTTTGATCTTATTATCTAAGATGGCGCATAATTTCCTGAATCTCCGCTTTCCATCGACGAGTATCAGCATCCAACAATGTTGATAGAGCAGTCTTGGAGTCAGATTCCACCTGGAAGTTGTCATAACCTTCACGAATCGCCCAACCAGTTGCAAAGAGGATTGATTTCAACTCAGCTTCCATCGATGATGAAGCATCCACCGGAAAATGAAGACCGAAGATCATCTCCCCCTGATAGATCGCATAATCGCGCCTCCGGTCACTTGATTCACAACAAAGGATGCATCCGTATTTAACTTTAAACCTCTTTTAGGTTTATTCCACTTTATCAGCTGATAACTCCTGCCTGGGAAGCGAAAACCTTTGGGAACCAACTCTTCATGACCAGCCCCTCTATGACCAGGAGAGAAGTTGGAGATTAACGGCAATTGATTGGGAGAGGAGTCGGTCGATTAGGTTTAACATATGAAGGGCAAAAATGTAATAAACTTAATGTCCTTAACGGCAATTGAAGTCCTATTTAGGGAATAATAAACTTAATGTCCTATTTAGGAATTTTGACTATGTTTTGATCCTATTTAGGGCAATTCCTTCATTAATCATTGATTACTACTCCCTCTGTATCATTTTATCTGTCCTATTTTCCTTTTTAGGTTATCCCAAAATAAGTGTCTTCTTTCCTTTTTTGGAAAGAAATATGTGGTCTATATCATTTCACTTTATTATGTTCAAAACTCAACTACAACTTTTACTGTTTAAGAAGGTAATTTGGATTTTGGATTTCTACCGTATTGTCTTTATGTGACAACAAATTTTCATTTCTTTTAGCTCTAAATAGATTTCTTGGATTTCTTGAAGTATAAAGATAACGATATTCATTCGTTTGTTACGTAAAACCGAACTGAAAGTTTGGTATCTGAATAAATGGGTCCCAATCACATTTGGTTGGATTTCGGTTCATGAAATGCTAGAAACCGAAAAATCGGTTCGGTTTAGATTTTTCTCATTTAGGTTTGGGAAGTGAACCGAACCCAGCCCTAATTTTGATTATACTGAGCAGTGACTTGAAAACGGATTCGTCGGATTTTGGCGCCCACGCAACCAATGTTCTTATGAACCCACCCTGGTAGAGCTATCTCCGAAAAGCTTTTACAATGGCATTTTGAACACCTTGATTGGAACCTTAACTCGCCTATTTATGCTGAAGACTGAAATTTCTGATCCAATTCCTACGCAGCTAATCACTGATTGCGCTACTCAACTAGCTTGCCAAACATGCCTGACTGCTTATCTGAAAATTCGGATGATCATTGCTTCAGAAGTTCCTTCAAGAAGGAACGCCATTAACTTTACAAAGCCCAGAGTGAGCAATAGGCTACCTATTCCAACTGGCCTTGCTTTTGCCATTCAACAATTGCGAATCGTTAACGCTGCTGAGCAAATATATATCAAAAATGATCTTTGTACCCACTCTTATACCCACTTTTGTACACACCTATGTTTGTGAAGTGTTTTTATTTGTCTGTGAATTCCGGCTCACAGACAATATTTTGCACAGACAAAATATTGTCTGTGAACCCGTTTTCACAGACAAAAAAAACCTCCACAAACATGGTGGGTATAAGGTGGGTATAAAAGTGGGTACATCAAGCATTGTTGAATATATATTCCATGTTTTCCTGATGAAGGCCACATCTTTGGTATGCCGACTGTGGTAGTCCTCGTTTGGCGCCCAAATGACTATGCAACAGCTGTTGAATCATCATCATCATCATTTCGTTTTCATTTACCCCAGTGCCGCAAAGGCTCCCACCTACGGTGGGGTAAGGGGGGTCGGATGTACTCAGTCTTACCCATGTACAAAGTACAGAGAGACTGTTTCTTGATGACCCATAGTGAAAATTGCGTCTAAAATTGCAGGGAGTGACTGCTGCTTCATAACAAAGAAGCGCAGACAGTTTAGTGAGTCATTTTGCTTTATTCCATCATATTCTCAAGCCAAAAAATAATGAATCTTTGGCTCCATTGTAAATGATGGAAAATGCAACAGCTGTTGAATATGCAAGAGAATTCAGGTTGACCTTTTCAACAGTCGATCTGCAGAAGAAGGACGGATCGGCATGGTGGTTGATTCGTCAGGTTTTCAAAGACAATGTGTTTGAGTTGCACTGTCCTCTACCTGAGTCTAACTTCAACGAAGCAATGGTCATTTTGCACGCTATCTTCCTGAATGGGGAAGCTTCTGACCCATCGCGGGTGTTTGTAAATCTGGAGCCGGTTGGCAATGGTGAGTTGGTGACTGGCATTATGCTGCGAGCTCCACACTACGGTATCCATATAAATGCTTATGAAGCCATCTCCTTTCAAGCCAGAGAGGTTGTTACACATGTGTAACTGTATGGTTCAAATGGGTAATGTGATTCGGTTCTAAAAGCTGAAATGCTTTTTTGCTAGATTCTGATATTGTAAATTGTAATGAACATGTTGTTCAATGCCATTTTGTGAAAAACAGATTATGTCTGCCATTTTAGACAGTGCTGTAACTGTTTTTGATAGTTTTGTTGCAACCAGTTGCAAACTACTTTATAAAAGTTTATTTTCAAACACAAAAAAAATGTAAATCTTGATTTTAAGAAAGAGATCGAGGCAGTTGCCAACACCCCTTCTAAAATGCTAAATTTTAAAGAGATACAGTTGGTTGTCAAAAAAAAAGATGTGTAGACCTACTAATTAATAATATGCATTGACCTATGCTTATTGGAAATTCCCGGTTAATAATAACTTGAGGTGGTCAACAGGGGACCGAGCGAAAACCGTGGTTGAGAGTGAGTGTACCTAGATTATTCTCCTATCAAAGCTGACAATGTTATGGACTTACAGTGGTAAATATAAATTAGGAATATAAAAGCTTAAAATATCATTTATTGATATGCCCTTGGGCGATAGTATATGTGAGACAGATCATGTCCACTTATAGCCTGAATAATGCCAACGGCAACCTTATTAACCCATAGTATAAGAAGGGGTAGGCAGATTGATGACAGTAGTCTTGACCTTCGTCATCATATTAATGGTGTTTGTAATGCCTTGTGATCCAATCCCACTGTCCTTGATTCCCTGTTTTAAAACATATAAATGTTATTATTATAAAACGGCTAAAAAGGAAAATAACAATATGTTTTGGGCCATAGTTCGGTTTTACAGGGACCTATTCACTTGGCCTTATAGAGTTATAGGAGTCACAAATTAGCATGAAATCAAAAGGCATCACTTATTAAACAGATCAAACCTGGAATGGAAAATGATCAGGTCCCCGAGAGGGTGCGGAGTTGATCTGCACCGTTCCAGCCTCCATGGCATCACTTATTAACATGGCTTTGTTGATGTCTTTAGTAAAGACACATCCCTGTAGTTCATTTAGTGAAATATACCAAAGATAGATTAGTATGCTGCTTAAACACTGAAAGCACATTTAATGGGGGGTGCTTTGGGGGTCCCGATGCCCCCGCTATAGACCCTTAATGGGAAAGTAAACTGTGGGCATAACATATCCCCTGTGTGTCAATGTACACCAAGTCACTTTGTGAATCAAACAGGTCACTCTGTCAATGAGCTGTTTAAAAAGGGTCACTGTGACTGAACTGTTTAAAATTGGTCACTGTTTCCAATGTCATTGATCTATTTTCTTTACAAAGTAGCTTGGTGCACAAAGGGGAGTGCGTGTGCTGGGACATGGACATCTTACTTGGAGGCCGAATTTGCTAGCATTGCAGTGGTTGATTCCTTCTTCCACAGAGTTGATCCGAATAACGGGTAAAACAGGCCCAAATGGCTCCTCCCATGCGATCCTCATATCGGGCCTGACATGGTCCAACAACAAGGGCCAGATGAGGTTACCTTCCCTCTTGTAGGGCTGGCAGAATGTCGCCTGTTTCTCTTTTGCATCCATGGCCAGCCCCTCTATGAAGTTTGCTGATGATTCCGAAACAACTGGGGTAATATCACAATCATCTTCCGGTGCTCCGACTGTTAGCTCTGCCATTTTTGCCGTCACCTTCTCAACAAGAGTGTCAGCAATGGATTCCATCACCAAGACAACCTTAACTGCAGTGCACCTCTGACCACTGTTACAGAACATAGTAAAATAAACATTACTCAACAACCAGGAATGCTCATTCCTATCTAGACTGTTTTCTTACTGAAATATTTATGCACCTGTAAGAGAATCCTCCTTTGGCAATATTAGTTGCTGCCAAGTCTATGTCAGCATCTTCAAGCACAATACAAGCATCTTTTCCTCCAAGTTCCATTTGCAGTGGGACCATACCTGCTTTCTTTGAGATTGCAATACCGGTGTCCCCACCAGTGAAGCTTAGGAAAAAAAAACACGAATGCACAATTATGTACTGAAGGTTAATGGTCCGTTTGGATCTTGAAATTGATGGGGAAAGAAAGTAAGGACAAAAAAGTTTAGGATAAATTTGGAAGGAAAGAAAATATAAGGGAAAATAAAACATTGGTCAGACTCAATAAATTTGGTAGGGTAATCTGAGATTACCTTATAAATTATAATGTTAGGAAGATAATTTCATATAACCTTGTGCAGTTTGAATTTTAAGATTTCAGAAGAAAGTGATATGTGAGATTACGTTATTTGGTTACGAAGTTCAGATTACCGACGTAATCTCATACTACTATACTAGTACCACATAGGATAATCATACAATTATTATAATGTTTAGAGGCAATCGGCTTTTCGTGAGTTTCTTTTTCAGTAGTGTAACATTACCTTCTTAATATTCTCCACTTTACCCCAAAAAATCAGGTATTGTTGTGTTTGCTTTGAAATAGATTAATACTCTCTGCATTATGCTTTTATTACCAAATGAAATAAATCAGGTAATCTTTTATTACCTTCCTAAAGGTTATCACGTTACCTAACCAAGCGGTTCCTAAAGGTAAGTCCGAAAGAACAAACAAGAAAGTTTCAAAGATAGAGATTGGGAAGTGCATTCAAAGAAAGTTCTGGCTGCTTGCCTTATACAGTTCACTCCTGGATGCATTGTGAGGAAATCTCCGATTTCAGAACCCTTTCCAGTGACACAGCTGATAACCCCTTTCGGAAAACCAGACATGTGAAAGCAATGCACCATATGGAGGGCAGCCACAGCACCCTACATTAAAATGTGCTTATGTGGCTTATTTAATGCTAGGAAAGAGAAATCTAATTGAATTTCTTAATGTACGAAGTTTCTTAATATATAGATACCTTTGCTTAGGTAATGTTTTTACATTTTCATCCTAGACCTTAAAAGAAGTTGAGGGGAAAAAGTGTCTGAGACTCGGAGGTATGCCCCTTTTTACTGCTTCTAAAAAAAATACAGTACCTGAGTTGGAGGCTTGAGAACAAGAGAGTTCCCGGCAATCAGTGCCGGTGCTATTTTGGATACAGCAAGATTGACAGGATAATTAAATGGTGGAATGGCTAAAACCACACCAAGTGGAACCTGTGAATGTAAATCATGCTGTTAAATGTAGTAATGTATCCATTGGCTCCCAATAACCCTCTACTGAAGATACCAATATAGATTAGGATTAATACATATCACAATTCTTTAATACTAGAAAAACTTGGTTCCATCGACAACAAACATTTAAAGAA